AACAATTATTTAAAAAAAAAAAAACTGTCTTGCAACTTAGGAGGAATAATTTAACATTCACTTTAATTGAAGCACTGAGTAATGACATTTTAAGTGTTTATAATTTTTTTAATAATTGTTAATAAATAGTAATTAATATAAATAATAATAAATAATTAGTTACTCACATGTCATTAGTAGTTAAAAAGGTTGTGCAGTACACCACAAGGCATTATAATGCATAGCCGCTCTTGTGTTATGATTATGAATATGATTATAAATTCACAAGGAATTACTTATAGAACATTATTAGAGCTTTACAGGACATTGTTAGAGTTTATACAAATGCTTACAGGGAATCAGTACCAACTTACAAAAATGATGAGCAAACTTGTAATGATTTATAAAACTGGGCTTCATCAAATCATCATCAGTAATATCAGTGCCTGCACTGCGTTTACTGATGTTCTCTAAAGGTGATTCACCCCGAACCTTCCTCTTGCCTGCGAATGCAAATGATCATTTTGGATCCTGTCAGTAAAGATTAAAAAAAAAAAACTTGCCTGTTAGTGACTGTTTCACTTTTGTAAAACTTGGTTTGAACTGTTTTCTGTCTGCGTTCCTGTGGGAATTACTGTAGTGAATGTTGGGGTGGGGATGCTGTGTTTCTGAGCGGGGAGAAAAGGGATCAATAGTTACAAAAAAAAAAAAAAGACCATATTGTAACAAGTGCAATCATATGAAGCATTCATAAAGCATTCATGAGATGTGGATGAACTGTGCGGCACAACGACACAAAATGTTCGACTAGTTGAGCTGCAGACCATCTTATAGTCTGCAACTAAAATTCATGCTTTTTGACTCAATATACTGTAACAATGTACGTGCACCATGGATGCTTTATGCATGCATTATGGAGGTTCACTCAGTAAAAAAAAAGTGATAAATAAAAAAATCTGTTAAGTAATGCTGAATGAGTGATGAAGGTTAACATTGAGGTTATGTTCTGCTGATTGTGTCAACAAATGCTTTGTTGGATTTCTGTTTTTTAAAAGAAAAAAATCTCGGTGAGGGTGAACGTGTGAGAGCGCTGCAGTATTTGAAATGAAGCATTTGAGTAACAGTAGAGTTGGGGAGGAGGGTGGGAGGGTGGATGGGTGGCCAAATGTAAACTTAAAAGCCTTAATTGAAGTGGTGCAATTTTGTATAATCGAGCATCTGTAGTTCAATAAATTGGATTGCCATGCAAGGGCTCGCAAGAAGCCAGTTCTGCCACTTGATTGTGTATTGTTTCACAGTTCTTCTGTCAATAAAATCAGTTTAACATTTGCTCTAACGATACTTGTTTTAAGATTATGTTTCTAGATACGAGTGAACATGATAATGACTTAAGTTCATTAAAGAACTAAGAAATTTAAATGTGTTTTAATGATGAAGTGGGCACCTCACAGTGACAGCTTCTTCATTATAATTTCCCTATTTGTGTTCACCTTCACAATGTTTGTCTTTGAAAGCCACTTAAGCATGAAGTTAGCTCAACTCAGACTGTTATTACTTCACGCATGAATAACAATGACTCATTGAACAGAAATTTGTGATATAGCTAAATACATTATCGTATTCTGAGGAAAAAGAAATGCAACACATGTTCAAATGATATTACATCCTTCTCTGAATAGATAAACAAATGAAAGTAACAGGGAGGCAAGAGCAGTTGTGGATAATTACAGCCATCCTGTAGTCTCTCTTGAAACAGGATTTATTGGTTAGCTAGCTAGTTTTATGCTAATTTTGTAGCCCTGAATGTCCTGATAGATCCCTTTTCACTGGGGCAGGGTACATAACCAGGGTACTTCATATGGATTTACGACCACAACATTCGTGAGGTCAGTTCACAAAGCAATCAGATTTTCTACAGAGGGAATTGTATTTTTTTCAGCTTCTAGAGCATCTTAAAAAAGTATAGTATATAGAGTATATTTAAAAAAAAAAAAAAAGAAGTTAACTCTTGAACCCTTTTGGGTGTCTCTTTGGAGGAACCAATAAAAGTTCTATGTTTAACTGTAGCAGAGAATATTTCTTTCCTAGGAAGCTAAGAACCTTTAAAAGATTTTTTGTTCTAAGAGTGTATTGCTCTGGTTTTGTTTAATATATATTTATACACTCACCATCCACTTTATTAGGAATGCCTGTACATTCACGCGGTTATCTAATCAGCCAATGATGTGGCAGCAGCACAATGAATAAAATCATGCAGATACAGGTCAAGAGCTTCAGTTAATGTTCACATCAAACATCAGAATGTGTAAAAGTGTGATCTCTGTGACTTTAACCGTGTCATGGTTGTTGGTGCCAGATGGGCTGGTTTGAGTATTTCAGAAACTGCTGATCTCCTGGGAATTTCACACACAACAGTCTCTAGAGTTTACACAGAATGGTGCGAAAAACAAAACAAAACAAAAAAAAACACATCCTGTGAGCGGAGGATCTGCAGGCTGAAACACCTTGTAGATGAGAAAGATCAGACTGGTCTGAGCTGACAGGAAGTCTATAGCAACTCAAATAAGCACTCCTTACAACCGTGGTGAGCAGAAAACCATCTCAACATGCACAAAACATCAAACCTTGAAGTGGATGAGCTACAACAGCAGAAGACCACATCAGGTTCCTGTCATTCAGCTTCTTGATGGCTTTCTCTGTGGCCTCGGGAGTCTGAGAGTGCACATAGCCATGTCCATTAGATCTATTTTCATCACACACCACCTTCAGGAGAGGTGCTTCTGTCAACACACAGAATTTATGTCAACAAGACATCCAACATAGATCCAGGTTGCACAGAGCTCAAGCCTTGCATGATGGAGAAGGTGTCCTAAATGGCCATGTTGTCAGTGGACTTGTCCAAGTTCCTGATAAACGTATTTCACACAGTGCTCTTCCTCAGGGACGGGTCCTTCTGGGACCACATGATGAGCATGGGCCTTCTCATAAGGATGTCAAAGGTAAGCATTGCCAAAGCTTGTTCAGCTAATGGAACAAAGTTAATTACATCTTACTAACATTGAAGTTGCAGTTCATTTCTGTTAAGCTGAAAACTTAAGCAGGAACTCAATCTGTGGAGACAGTGACATAGCATCCAGCAGTCTTTTGACACTGTGTGAGAACCAGTGAGATTCTGATAGAGTTATATAGAGTCAGTGACTCTCCAAATCTGAATCATAGAACCAGTGAGATTCTGAATCTGAATCATAAAGAAATGAGTCTTTGAATCTGAATCATAAAGAAAATGAGTCTTTGAATCTGAATCATAAAGAAACGAGTCTTTGAATCTGAATCATAAAGAAAATGAGTCTTTGAATCTGAATCATAAAGAAAATGAGTCTCTGAATCTGAATCATAAAGAAACGAGTCTTTGAATCTGAATCATAAAGAAAATGAGTCTTTGAATCTGAATCATAAAGAAATGAGTCTCTCAATCATAAAGAAAATGAGTGTCTGAATCTGAATCATAAAGAAAACGAGTCTTTGAATCTGAATCATAAAGAAATGAGTCTCTGAATCTGAATCATAAAGTAATGAGTCTTTGAATCTGTATAATAAAGAAATGAGTCTCTGAATCATAAAGAAATGAGTCTTTGAATCTGAATCATAACGAAATGAGTCTCTGAATCTGAATCATAGAGGCAGTGAGCTTGGAAATGTGAACCATAATGACAGTCTGATCCTGTAGGATTTTCTTGTATTCCTGCAAAAGCTGTACTTCAGTATAAAAAAGGGTTTTTTGATGAGAATGGCTGGGATTTTTCTTACTATGCTGTAAATATCATAATCTGACAGAGTGCAGGTTTGTCGGCTGCACATCATCCATAGTCAACGCGTTTGTTTATTTTTTTTTAGGTCCTGCAAACTGGGGGAAATTGCTTGTTTGAACTAACATCATATAAAATGAATCCAGGTATTATATTATTAGGAATAAATACTGAAACGCAGCACGATTAAGGTAAGAAACAGGAAGAGGCTCCAGACCGGTAGAGGGCGCTGTATGCTGATCAGTGCACACTGCTTACTGCAGAAGAAGAGAAATCAGACACATGGTTTGTAAATAGTCCAAAATAATACTGATGGGTAGTAAGTACTTATCTCTAATTTATAGCATACATTAAACATACTGCACTTCTGTCTTTTTTCTTAAGAAATTAAGACGCTTGAGGACTAGAGAATAATTTTCATGGTGAGGATAGATCACTTCCAGAGTTTAACATGGATTCATGAAAAGAGAGAGAGAGAGAGAGAGAAAGAGAGAGAGAGAGAGAGAGTTTTTAATCTGGGCAAAGCGCACGTGCTGACATGAGTTTGATGGCTCTGGTTAGCTGTAGGAGTGCAGCAGGGAGGTGTTTGTGCAGCAAGCCTGCTGTTCTTCATTGCAGAAAACTCAGTGATCATGTTCACAAACCCGAGCAAATTCAGAGAGAAGAGGAGAGACAGAGACAGAGGAAGGGGAAGGGGAGGCCCCCGGGGCAGGTGTCCGTGCTGCTGTTCCCCGGGCAGGGCAGTCAGTTTGTGGGCATGGGCAGAGGACTGCTCAAGTACAGCAACGTGAAGGACATGTTCACCGTGGCTGAGAAAGTGCTGGGCTATGACCTTCTCTCACTGTGCTTAAATGGACCTGAGGAGGATCTGATGAAGACTGTGCATTGCCAACCTGCAGTGTTTATCACCTCTTTAGCTGCTGTGGAAAGACTGAATCATGAAAACCCTGCTGTAAGTCTTCAAACTCTCCTGTGTAGTCAGAATGATCTCCTCCTACACACAATAGAAACCCTCATAGAATTTGTAATGGTTTTAATGGTTATTGTATAGGGTTTTAATGGAAACTGTAATGGTCCCTGTTGTTCTTTTGGCTGCTCCTGTTAGAGGTTGCCACAGCAGATCACTGGTCCACACATGTTTTACACCGGATGCCCTTCCTGATGCATACAGGCTTGGGACCGGCTTTGAGAGTGCACTCCCTGTGGCTGGGTTGGTTCCCTGCCCGGGAATCAAACCCAACCCATGGCGGTGTGAGCACAGGATCCTTAGCCGCTTAGACCACCAGGGACTGTATTGAGCCTTGTAGGTCTGTACTGATAATTTGTTGCCTTATGTTGGTGGCATGTTATGTCTAGACCAGAGGTGTCCAATCTTATCCAGAAAGGGTCGGTGTGAGTGCAGGTTTTCATTCCAACCAATCAGAAGCCACACCTGAGTCTACTGAAAGCCAGACAGGTGGAATCAGGTGTGGCTCCTGCTTGATTGGAATGAAAACCTGCACCCACACCGGCCCTTTGTGAATAAGACTGGACACCCCTGGTCTAGAGGATACCATTAAGGACCTACGTCATTGACACATCCTACTACATAATGATGGTTTGTAGTAGTATTTATAGTGGAAACCATTAGAATTTCTGCGATGCTTTCTATTATATTATTTTATTTTTTCAGCAGGGCTGTGTCTATTATTCTCATAGTTTTTTGTTCATTTCCCGGAAGTGAAGTGGACTAAAAAATACAACGAGAATATCTCCAAAACAAAGGGACAGGTACAAAAAGCACTGAATAGCCAGTTTTGGTTGCAGGGGCACTTTAAGGAAGTCTGGAACTATTTGTTCATACAAACTTTGAACTTTAAATAGAAGCTTTTATAAAGAGAGCTATCCAAATGCACCTCTGCGAAACAGCACCACAGCGTGCCAGAACAGGGATTTTATTATGTTCTGATGAGTGTCCAAATTTCTGTTCTGTATAAAGCAAGCCATAAACAACGTGTAATAATAACGTGCTTTTGGTTACCACCTGCTAGTGTTCTAACCGACTGAAACGTGACAAGCCACGCCCCTGCGGAGTAGGTAGTAGGACATCCGGGTACTACAACGCAGGTTCCCAACCCTGGTGCTTGAGTACATCCTGTCCTGCACTGTTTGGTGCAGGGGTGTCCAATCTCATCCACAAAGGGCTGGTGTGGGTGCAGGTTTTCATTCCTATCAAGCAGGAGCTGCACCTGATTCCACCTGTTTAATCAGTTGATCTTGGCTTTCAATAGACTTGGGTGTGGCTCCTGCTTGGTTGGAATGAAAACCTACACCCACACCGGCCCTTTCCGGATAAGATTGGACACCCCTGGTTTAGTGTTTCCCCTTCTCACAGCACGCCTGATTCATCAGCTAATTCACCCTGTTTAGTTGTGTGTTTTAGAGCGGGGAAAAGACTAAAACATGCAGGACAGGGGGTAGTTCTGGGTTGGGAACCTGTAATCTACAAGTTGATGAATACTGTGACTGTGTTTGAAATGACGTCCATTTCTACTAAATAATGCAACAGTATATACTGTATTCTATACCAGAGGCAGCTCGTATAAAGGGACTGCCAGGGCTAAACCCACCACACAAACCCTTTTCTGTATTTTAAAATTAAGAAAATAGATCAATATAAGGTGTTCATTTTAAACAAACCTTATTTGCTATTAGTAAACGTTTAAAAGTGGATTATTTTTGCAACAGCACCCCAAATGGTTTTAAGAAAAACACACAGAATAATATGAAGAAGTGAGGCTGGGGCTGATTCTTTCTAGACCAGACTATAGCTCATTTTAGTTGACGTTCATGTCAGGTGATTATGCAGAGCGAAACCACGTAGATTTGATCTTTCAGTGGGCTGACGTGTTTCAGCCCGCGCTGACGTATCATAACTCGTCATCAGCAGTGAGAAGGCACACTTGAAATACAGTCCTGGGTGTGATACTAGTGAAAGAGGTGACTTTACCAAACATGGTCAAGAGAAAAGTTGTAAATCTTTTATTCAAACCAATATACAAGGTTTACAACTTTTCTCTTGACCATGTTTGGTATTTAGAGGAAACACGGCTTGAACCCAGTAAAGCTGCCTTTAATTGTGGTAGTGTAATAATTTGCCCTCCACATCATTCTTATTATATCATCGGTGAGACCTAGTGATGTTCTGCATTGCTCAGGCCTAACAGTTTTATTGCAGAGCTATTGACTGCTATTAGATTATAACCTTTGCATCTAATATCATGACCTGCAGCCACTGCTACATATCGTTTCTCATAGTACTATGTAGTAAAGTATATAGTAGGTATACTATACCAGATTGTGGTAGATAAATTTAAAATGATGCAATAAAGCTCAGAGAAGGAGTCAAAAATGTTTGACTTAATGTTAGAGCAAGATGCAAGATAAATACACCAATGGCACAACTAATAAAAGTATTAAATTTTCTGTATCAGGTAAGCCATCACAGTCAAGAATGAATGAGCGTTTGGTGGAAAATATTCATATTAAATATAGAATATAACAGCTAGAATAAAATTATGCAATTTTGGATGAAGTTCATTGTTGAATCGGTGAAAATCTTGTGTGTATGAGTATGAATTAGGCCACTAGTCAGTGTTATCTGGGTTTATCTGAATACAGATGTCAGGTGTAACCACATCTGTCCTTCCTCAGGCGATAGAGAACTGTGTTGCTGCTGCTGGTTTCAGTGTTGGGGAGTTTGCTGCTTTGGTCTTCTCAGGTGCGATGGACTTTGCTGAAGGTAAGACTCATGTGCTTGTTTATTCTCTAGATCCAGGAAAATAAAATCTTGATGTTATATGTAAATCTAACCTGCATCATACTTGCAATTTTAGACTAATGGCAGAATTTTGTGTAGCCCTTTTCGCAGTGAAAGTTAGGGCAGAAGCCATGCAGAAAGCTTCTGATGCAATCCCGAGTGGAATGTTATCTGTAATCGGCAAACCTCAAGCCAATTACAAACACGCCTGCCTTCAAGCAAGAGAGCACTGTTTGTCTCTGGGTATACAGGATCCTGTTTGCTCCATCGCAAACTACCTGTTTCCAGATGGGAGGGTCATCGCTGGACATCTTGAGGTAAGAACTAGTCCTTTATGAGCTGGAACAGCTTTAGGTGGAGCATTAAAGTGCAATTACAATGCAATGGGATTCAAGTGTCTACCACACGACTGACTGTTCCTGCTTTCCCCAGGCGCTGGACTTCCTCCAGAAAAACTCGAAGCAGCTGCACTTTGCTCGGACGAGGCTGCTGCCAGTAAGCGGGGCTTTCCACACGGAGCTGATGGAGCCGGCCGTGCAGCCTCTGAGCGACGTGCTGCGCCAGTTAGAGGTGCGCCGGCCTGAGGTTGCTGTCCACTCCAACGTCGATGGAAAGCGTTACATGCAAGAAAACCACGTGCGGCGGCAGCTGGCCAAGCAGGTGGTGTCATCGGTGAAGTGGGAGCAGACGCTGCATGAGATTTATGAGCGAACTCAGGGCCAGGACTTTCCTAACACATATGAGGTGGGACCTGGGAGACAACTGGGGGCTACGCTGCAGAAGTGCAACATGAAGGCATTCAGGAACTACACACACGTTGACGTGGCACTGCCACAAGACGATTGAGAGACGTCTAGGAAATGGCAGCGCAGTGAGATTTTCAAAAGTTACCACACTCTCTTACCGATTAGGATATTCAAGATCATACTGCTAGGTTCTCAGAATTCACTGAAATTGTGTCAGTTAGCTTGCTACACTTCTTTTACTCTTATCAGATTACTTTATGACATGTTAAATTTAATGGTTCTGTATTCGTGGAAAAATGCAAAATGTGAAATGTTTAACTTGGAGAAAGACGAGAATAAACAGCAAGACAATGTTTAACATCCTGTTTTCCAAATGACAAAAAAAAAAACACAACTGAATATTTCATCCAACAAATTTTATTATTATTTGCATTGCAGTGAAAACATCAAATTGAAAGTCCAGCTTCCTATAATAGCATAGCAATTCTTTTAGAGGAAGAGGTAAGAGAATGAATATGGCCCAATTAACCAGCAACAGACCCTACTGTAAACCAACAACGGCATCAAATAACTTACAAAAAATGTGTGAACCAGCACTCAAGTTGCAATTTAGGTAGAATACAATCATATAAAATTATATAAAAAATGAACCCAAATGATCCTTCTTGACCCACTCGAAGACCCGCCAAAGACCCGCTCTTGGCCCTTTTCTGAGTGTTGGTTTAAATCTTGGTTGCAGTAAAGACAGTTGCAGCTACCAGCAGGGCAGCAGAAGCTAGAAAACATGTTGTCTTGCAGGACCAATGAGGAAAGTGTGGCTTTACCTGTGTGAAGAGAAAATAAAAATCCAGGATTCAAGAAGCAGCAAAAAGCTGAGGCAATCAGAGTGGAGTCTTCTATTCATTCTTAGGTATCTTATCCATGGTCTAGATGGAACCCTTTTCCTAAGAGGTCTTATTTTATATTCGTGTGCAGTACATTGGCTTTATATTATATATTCTGCATTATTATCCTGTAAATAATTCAGGACGAATTCTCTCTTACCCAGTTGATCCATTTCATCATTGCTTGGCAAGCTTGTGTGTGCAGTTCTGGAACCAGCCTGGATGCTCTTGCCATCGGCATGAACTTAGACCACTGAAGGCTGCCAATGATCCTCCTGTATTCCAGATTTAACACTTTGTTTCTACAGTCTCATTTTGCTTCTCAGTAGCTGAACTACAGATAGATTGCTTTATGTTTCTCTTTCCTCACTAGGTAATGTAAGTCTAAAAGATGTCACTTACCTGTTGATGGCTCTCCAGATCAGTACGTTTGGATAAACCTGCCAGTCTAGGTGTCGTGGCTGTGGGAGCTTCTCCCTCCACCTGCTGTTCAGTTCATCACCGATCTGAGCCAGCTGACGGCCAATGAGCTGAGTAGCTCTCCTAGAACAAACATTTTTATCATCGTAAGGAATTAATTTCGATCTACATAATAATCTGCTCAGTAAGATGGGTCATCTGTTGAATTACGTAAAGCACAATATTAGAATGTTGGTATAACTGTAAAAACTTATACATGGATTTGAAAAGATGATTTTTTTTCTTTTTTATTCCTACCTCATGTTGATATCGGAGAGAACGTGGTTTTCCACCTCGCCAGGTCCAGCCTGAGGGGAAATGGCACCAATCGCTTCTAGTGCTTGTTCCACCATTTTGTAATCTGAACTGAGAGAATTTTATATTTTATTTGTATTTAAACA